GTGTGGGGGTGATGCCGCGGCTACCAGCGGTTATATTCTCTCGCAGGCTTTTTCCAGACTTCCAAATGGCCTCATCCTTAGTAGTGGGCTTGCGTTTGAAGCATGCAGAAGGTAGACATGTCTTAGAGGCCTTGGGGTTGTCGAGGAAAGAAAACATGGACTGTGTCGTCTGCCATTCCTGGCTCCTGCGAAATTTACCGAAGCTGACTTTCTCCTCCATTGGACTGCATGAATACTGTTGTGTCTGTGGCTTCTCCGCAAACCTTACGCGTTTATATCTCGGAAAACAGGCCATTGGTGGTTTGTTGAAGTTGGGGTGCGATTTGTGCTCAGTCCTGCCTTCCAGCAAACCAGTAGGGTGCTCTGCACCTCGGATATCTTCCAGGCTCTGTATGGCCATTGCCGGAACCCGTGGTGAGCTTTGAATGTCAGGTGGGGCAGGTGGGTTTGGGTGACATACCTGCAAGCAGTCCGCGTCAATGTCTGCTGGCGTCACAGGATTGAAGTTACTGTAAGGACAGTGAGCGGGATCGATTCCGAGGTTGGTTGGTCTCTTAGCGGATGGCATGTTTATTTAATATATGGAACCGAAAGGTGGTGAGGCATTCCTGAAAGAGAAAATACAGACATTTTGGTCTTGCGAAAACAAAACTATGGTAAGCATGACAAATATGTGTCACCGCCTAGAAGTGCATAAAGATCTTAAGAAATGTACTTCCTGCCCACTTTCTGATTACTATTCTTCATTGTTCTCCTGAAAATAAAAGTAATTGGGCACAGATACTACCCTGTAAAGTAGCCTTTTTCGAGTGGTAATCATTTTAATGGATTATTATTTTCTATAACTTGCAGTTGAGGGCCTAAAACACAATAGAAGGCTGCTAATATGAAGGCATCGTTATTATCTTACTTCATCAATAAATAGCCTATTATCGACTGGATAATGAAAATCTTTTATGAGAGATTTTTTGACACTGTGAGTGGATTACAACAAACCTTCTACGTCCAGCGTCTACTATAATCGCCTTCATTTAGGTGATAGTAGGTAGCGCCACTCGGGCCTAGGTATTAACCACGTTTCATTTGCAAGAATATACCTCTTGATCGGAGATTATAGGAGACTTACAGTTATAGGGTTTACTAGTAGTCGCGTCAAAACGGGACTATACGAAAGTTTTAAGCTTAAATCGATCAAGGAGAACGTGTGATGGCGAGAGCAGAAAGTGGAAAATTAAGGGGTAGCCACTGCGTTTTCCCGCACTTGGCAAGCGCTGCAAGCAAAATGCCACAATTTTGGAAAGACTATTAATCAAACACAAACTGATATTAAGCAGGTCGCAATACTGATTATCATGTAGTCTAATCTCACGTCTTTTCAGTCACGCCAGGATGCCTGCGCTGTAAATAGCTGCCTTCTGAACGCTTACAAAAGTGGATTCTGTAAAAAAATGGCTACACAAATAGCATGCATTTTTATGATCGATTTTGACTGCGTTGGCATATTCAAATATATTTTGTAGAAAAAATGCACGAAAATAATTGTTGTTGTACTCGTTCGGTAGTAGATTACGCCTTCTTTAAACTTGATAATTCAAGAAAGGGTATTCTTTGGTTGTAGAAAACTTACTAACAATGATATTCTTTACGACTGTGAGAGGTTCATTCATAATACGTTGTATCCGTCAATTAATTAACGTTGTTTATAAGGTGTACAGCATGATCCACACCTATTGCGAAATTTATGAGAACTATGCAAATTCTTCCTTAAACAGTAGGCAAAAGCGTTTTTTTCCTTAAACTGGATTTACACAACATTTGTTTGAAAAAACTGAATTTAGGTGTAGCAGTCGCTTAATTTCAAAATTACTTTGCAATGTAGAAACTTTTATTTAAACAGAAAGAAACCATTTCTTTAAGTATAAAGTTTAAAGAAGGTGTATTTTTCTACCGAATGAGTACAAGAATATTTTCTTGAAAGTTTTCTATAAAATTTATTTTAATTTATACCAGCAGACAAAATCCGTGATAAAAATGTCTACTATTTAAATGGCCACTTTTTTCATAATCTACATTTTATAAGCGGTCAGAAAGAAGCTCATTAAAAAGCCGATATCTTGACGTGACTGAAACTACTTGAGATTAGCCTGCAAAGCAAGCAGTATTGCAACCGTACTTAATGTTGTTTTGTGAGTGATTACCAGTCGTTCGCAAATTGCGGCACTTTGTTTGCAGCACTCGCCATACTGTACTAACACCGGCAGGCTACTCGAACAATAGAAATTGGCAGTGGGGAACCTACGGTTATCGATTCATGTTCAAGTCAATTTTATCACTGTAGACGGACCTTGATAAGGATACCGGTTAAAGGAGAAAAGCCATGAGGACAATTCTGACGGCTTTATTGCCTGTATTTTCGATTAACCTCTTAAACCATCATTTTATATTAAATATGTAGACATTTTTGTGATCTGGACTGTAACCACCAATAGAATATGTGGCAGAACAACTTCTAAGTATTAGGGGCTGATTTTTCGAAAGAGCCGGTGCTCAGAAGCTCTTATGAGCTACCGTATATTCCATCTGGCACACGTTAATCAACTCAATTTATGCAACACTGATTTACGCCCTTACCGGGACCATTAAAAAAGGTGTGCGTTAAGTGATTTACTTACTTGGTACGCAGAAACAGAGTCGCTCTGAGTTACACATAATGACTTGCCTGCTCCGTATTGATAAACGTCCTATCATTCAAAATTTGCAGGTTACAAAGTTGTCATCGCGCGTGCTGCGATGCGATTGGTTATTCCTAACAGACTAAACCAGACTTTCTACTACATGCAGCATCAGAGTGCAGATAATATCCCACTATCTACTTTCATTCACACTGTCCCGTTGTATCGATTGCATATGTTTCCATTCTTATGTAAGACTTTAGTAGTAGACTATAGTAATAGTATGGGGAAATGGGTATTTATACAAGTTTCATTAGACTTCTACCTTCAGCTTAAAGTTCAAATTTATTCGTTCACATATCTAGTTTTGCGACTCTGAATGTTGCCAGACGGCACCAGTCGAAGTTAACACACAAAGGGTTATAGCTTACATGTCGGCCTAGCTTTGCCATGATCAGTTAAACAGATTTAGCGAACCCCCCTTTCCTGTCTGATGTTCCTCTCTGTGTAACTGTTTCCTCTTGCCTTCTGTAGTGTTTACTAGGGCATCCTAATGCATCATTAATTCGTGACTTGAATGCACTCTTAGTCGACAAGACTACGATGAGGCTGCAACAAATTGAAACCTCCGCCTACGTACTCACGAAGCCTGGGCTTAAAGAGCATGATTACCTCATTTTACAAAATGCTTACACTTTTACTTTTACAAATGCTTTTGGTAATATAATGAATCAAAGTGGCCGCGTCAAAAGGATTTTCCAAAAAAACAATGCAAAGCTTTATGCTCTGCAACGAGGGAAGTGGAAAGAATTACAGGTAGCTTCGCTCCTTGAAGTAACTGACCGGTATAGAACGCCCTCTATTCTTAGACATTTACAAGCATTTCTATGCATTCACCTCAAAGAGGCTGCCTGTCTGTCATGTCAGACATAATTTGCATTCCCTCGAGTACGTTTAGGGAGAGGAGAGGTTTAGCGATACACGTAAGTGCACAAAAAAATCCAGCCCAACCTAGTTTCCCCTCTCCTCGTCCAGTGGTGAAAGGTAGTTTATGTCTATACGTGAAAAGCTATTTACGCTCCACATCCAACTATGTCTCCAAATGTTCTATGAGTAACCCAGGGCTGCCCCAATAATACAGTTTTATTGATGGCGAGGCAAGGTATGTAATTGTTGTCTGTGAAGACAAAAATAGGTTCGCTAGTGTTTAATAGTGCTCTTCTTACGTGTTTCGTCGATTTTATGTCAGATCAAACGTGTGGTTCAACGGGTTGTCGTACTTTAAGGAGAGAGTTTTCCTCTTGCTTCATCAATCACGACACGTCGCTCCGAAACAGTCCTCAACAAAACTCGTGAAACGTGTGGCTAGGATGACTTAGGATCTGATTTGGTTAATTGCCTTCTATTTACTCCTGTTTACCGTAGGAAGGCCCAGAAATATTAATGAGAAGGAGATACAAATAGGAAAGTCTGGTTTCATGCCTCAAACGGTAAAATATACTGTGCGTGCCCGTTCTTCTCCATCCACGATCAGGGCAAGAAAGCTCGGATGGCTTTTTTGGAAATAAATTGGAATGTCCGACTTCTCGGCTGCTCTGATGCTTATAAACAGATGAAGTATTCGTACACAGATTCAAGCGATTATTTCTCGAAATGCATCTAAATTTTATTTTGCGTGAGCTTTTAAGTGTGGCTACTTTTATCAGGCTGCTCCTGACCATGTATCTAATGAAATGGGAGGCCACTTAGGTTTGGTAACTGGAGTTTGCCCATAATTCTTTACTTAACCATCACTAAGGTCTTTCGTTTTGGCCCGTTTGCCGGCTGACAGGTTGTTAGTCACCAAAATGACCCAAAAACTTTTTCATTTGTAAGTACTTCGCATAATCTTGTTCTAATTCATGCTGACATTTTTTACATGACAAAGAGAGTGGAAGAAATGAAACGCACGCTACCCTATATTTCCTGCTTTCCGTTACAAAAATCTAATATATTTCCCGCTCAACTGATAACACGTTTATTTAATAGAATCAAAGATTGAGTTTTTATGTTTAGTAAAAGTGGTTGGCCAAAGTCAAGCTATTTTGTTTAAAGTTCTAAGCCAAAATGTTACTCTAAACGCCATTTTGATGCTCTTCGTTATGTGTATGCCTCGCTTTTAGGCAAACGAAGTAGCTTATTGGCACTTTTATCCTTTTCCTGTTGCCCTCAAGTCAAACTCTTTTACACTGTTTCTATACAATTAGTGCTCAAAACACTGCGCTTGATTACTGGCTTCCAAAACATAACCCTCATTATTATGTAAGTTTAAAAAATGAGGTCACAAACATGCAATAAACATAAATAGCTACCTATTTCGAAATAAACTGTAAAAAATTAAGGTGCTCATACAGATTTGTTCGCTTGAATCTATACTCTCTATCTTTGCGACAGATTACAAATATTCAGTTTTTAAAGTTTCACAAATCCCCATCAGAGTAATCAGAAGAGCAGTTTTTCCCTGTTTTTGTTTAAACATGTGGCTTTCTCGACGATCAACCCGGTGAAATAGGAAAGGCTTCATACAAAATGGAGGATTTTTAAACTTCGGTTATAATTCCGCCATGTAGGGAACCCTTTTTACACTATTTCCTCGTTATACGTTCTTTTGATATTTTGGCATTTGAATCTCCACAGAGGTTCATAGCCAACTTGTATTATTTCAGGTAAAATGAAGCTTTATTGGAGGCAATACGAAAGCTCAATTGAAAAAAGCTTAATTGGCTACCACAAGGCAAACACGGGAAACTCCTGCGTACCCAGAAGTCCTCGTGGCTCTGTCAGGCCATGCGGAATATCGACAAAAGCAAAATGTATTTCAACTTTGTTTCCGTCGTTTGTTTGTGGTAGTTTTGAC